AGGCTAGCGTGGTGTGGTGAGGAGAAGGAGCACGGGACGGTGGGAGGGACCGTGGGCTCTGCGCCCCAGAGAAAGGGCTCATTGAAGCAGGGACGGGCACTTGCGGTTCCCAGCGCGGCCGGGGGGCGATGGCACGCACAGCAGCCAGCATTGTGCCGCCGGCGCCGAGCAAACGGAGCCGGGCGGTCCCCTCGCCCCTCTCGGTGGTCCGCTCTCCGGACCCCCTTGCTGCCCGGCAGGTTGGAGCGTTTGGTTGTGCACCTTTACTGCCGGTGGTGCTGCAAACCCCACCCCACCAGCACCCCTGGTTTCCAGCAAGTTGCTCTCAAGGTCATAGGCTCGTTAGCCAGCTCAGCTGGCTCCTGGTCCGCATCAAACCAGGGCAACGCAGCCTGGGGCGCCTGCGGATGCGCGATTTTCCCCCCCGTGCCCAGCACCGATGTCTCTGAAAGTCCCATGGCATTCACCAGGGTCTCAGGCGTTGGCAGCTCCTCTCCTGGGTCAGGAGGAAACACCTCTCCTTGGACACCTCCCAAGGTGAGGGGAGAGCAAAGACCTGGCCACGAAGCCTGGGCTGGTCCCGTCACCGGCGTTACTGTGCCTGACACCAGCCTCTAAATCCCTTCTGGGCAGCGCTTTTTGGGACACGAGGAGGAAGGACGGCTCATCTGGGTCATCCCGGAGCTCAGTGTGCCTCCTCAGGGGGGTGATAAATTGTGGGCAGAAGATGACCTCCCACACCTGGAGTTTGAGGAGGTCGAAGGACCGAGGGGCAGAGAGGGGAAGGGGACGAGGGGAGGAGAAACAAGCTCGGCTCTCGCCTTAACTTGAGGGATCAAACACGTGGAGGAAGAAGCCCCTGGCCATGTCCCCGGGGGGTGCCTGAGCCGGGGGGGGGGGCAGTGCCTCTGCCCTTCCCGTCCCCCCGGAGTGACACGGCCCCTGCTCACGCCAGGGGGCTTCTCAGCACCCTGTCCCTGCTTGAGCCAGAAGGACTTTGCATTCCCGACCTTCTCCTCCGGCGGGCAGTTCCCAGGCTTCAATTTGGCAAGGCTTGGGGCTATTCTGGGCAACTTTATAAACATCGTAGGAGGTGATTTTTTTTTTTCCCTCCGCCTCCCCCCGCCCCACTTTTTTTTTTAAGCTTGAATACACATGTAATTAAGCAAAAAATACCTGCCCGGGCAGCCTCTTTAGCTGCGCTGGGGCAGCGGCGGAGCGGGGAGCGAACCGAAGCAGCCTCGCGCCTGTGCCATGCCTTGGAGAAGAGCCAGGGGCAGGATGAAAATTGCTGGGAGATGAAAGCAAAGCGGGAAGCGCCGGTGGCGCGTTTCTTCAGCAGGCCAGCCTCGGGAGGAAGTCAGGAGCGGAAATAGTTGACAGAGTAAATACAGAGGGAGCTCAGGGTGGTTTTGGGGTTTGGGTTTGTTTTTTTTTTTTCTTTCCCCCCCCCCAGGTTGCGCTGCATTACCAGCCCTTTTCCCCAGGAAGGAAACCTTCCTTGCTCCCCTTCCCCTCAAACTCGCAAAGGCTGAACCTGGTTCCTTATTTGAAGCAGGCTACAGGACAACGGGGCCGTACTTTCGCTGTGCTGCTTGATAGCTCCCAAGAGCCCCGACGGCGCAAGGAAGTAGCAGCAAAACACAGCAGCTCACCGCTGGGTCACAAATTCAAATCCAACCCAGGGTAGCAGGACTTGGGCGGGGAGGGAGCTTGCAGGTAGGTGCTTCGCTGCCGTTCCTCGTCTGGGAGCTCATTTGTTGCCTGTTGAGTCACCGGAGGAAAATGTGACTTCATCCAGTCGCACCTCCAGCTGGCTTCCCCCGCCAGCCCGCAGGCGTCTTTCCTTTCCTGGATCCCACCCGGTAGGTGTTTGGGGCAGCCGGAGGAGCGGGATGAGAGCCCCAAGGCTTCACAAAAGACCCTCCCATTCCCGGCTCTCTGCCTGGAGAGGCCAAAAACCCCCACTCCTCTCTCCCGGGGCAGAGGAAACGCCCCGCGGAAGGGTGGCAAGGGCATCCCTTCCCTCCTCCCTCTGGCCACAGGGCCTCGCCGTCCTTGCCCCAGGGCTACGCTGCTCTTCTCACCCCACCTACAGCACCCATGGGAGCACCCAGCCAGCCAGCCAGCACCGCGGCAGACCTCGGC